CGAGGTGTTTGTTGATGCTCCTTCCAGCCCTGCGCCCAACGTTCTGACTCGCTCTGCCTTGCGCAACGCTGCTAACAACCGGTCTTTTGAAATGAGTGACGGCGACGAAAATAGCATGTTGAGACTTGTGGTGGAACTCGACCGTAGGCGGTGCGACCTCCCGATCAACGACTACCCTGCAGTGTCACCTCCCCGAGCTGACAGGACACCCAGGAGCACGAAGAACCAGAAGACACCTGTGCTGGACTGCATCACTGTTGGCGGCGAGGACGACTCAGACGAGGAAGAGGCCGAAGACGATGAGCCGGCGGAGCTTGCTCTGTCCCAGGTGGAGACCCGATCCAGGAAAAGCAAATCCCTTTCGCAAGAAGCACTCGCCACTCCGGCCGATTCAACCACGGCTTCATCCCCCGACAAGTCTGGAAAGAAGAAGCGCAAGAGGGGCTCATCGAAGTACGACACCCGCCGCAAGAAGCGCCGCTCCGTCGATAACGCCAATGAAGTTGTCTCGTCGTCTCAGCCCGAACCGGAAGTTTCGCAGACTGAGACTTCGCAAATGATGTCTCCCCTTCTTGGATCATCCTCTCAGGACGTCCAGCCCGGTCCACACGACACACCCTCGCGTCGGTCCACTGGATCTCGCAGCGATGACTACGAAGCCGAACTCCAATCCCAGGTTGTCGCCGAGCAACAGGAGGCAAGCTTCCGCGAAAGCCAATCTCAGGAGTCGCCGACGGAGCTGCACCCCACCCCGAGCGCCGCCTTCGAAGACTCCATGGAGGTCGACATTCCTGAACAACTTCCCGCGTCTACCCCGGCTCACGTCGGACTTCCTTCAGAATCTCTTTCCCCACAACCTACATCCCCGGGCATGGAAGAGACCCCCGCGGAGCCCGCCGAGAAGCCCGTCAAGGACGTCAACATGCTCGCCTCACTCAGCAGCGTCCTCGCCAACCTCCGCTCCGCGTCCCTGTCGCGCGACGAGGTTTACAAGATGGAGGATATGCTCATGGACATCAAGCGCGAGCTCTTCGCCGCCGAGGCTCGCGGACGAGCTTGAAGTCCACAAACACCACTGCCCCCATCAAATACCACTGTCTATTGTTATCGTTGTCCTTTTCTATTTTCCCATCAACGTCCCCGCGGGGATATGTCAATATTCCTGACACACACAAACCACAACCACACCAACATTATTCATCACGAACTGTTCTTGCATTACCGGCGCAGATCTTTTGGGTTCATCGGCCTTGGAGACGGAGGAGAGACTCAGGGTAGCTGCAACGTATTCTTTTCTTGATTGTACGAAAAAGAAGAATTTTGGTTCTCTTTTTGGAGGAGACCCAAAAACCAGCCATGGCACGAGGGAGGGAGGGGTGGAGGAAGGGCAAGCAAGGTTCCATTCGTCGTCATTATTATGTATTCCAGGAAAATTGTCGCGAAGCATGCATCTGAGGTGTTGATGAACCCCACCCATCACCCAGAATAATGAAAATCAAATATAATTCAATCATGACCCGGACCGGTTTGTCTCATTTGTGAATTGATTTGTCTGTGAAAGAAAAGCTTCTTTGATGGCGTGGGCCGTTTCAATCGTGATTGTATTTCAAAGGGTAGTAGTTAAATCTCCGGGCCCTGCTTTGCCCGTACACCGCCCTCACCTGCTTGGGTTCATGATACCGTTTGTTTGCTTCCTGTCCTCCTCGCGCAACACACAACTCGCAAACACACAAACGTAGATTGGCCGTCTAAATAGCCCCCCTCTAACTTTGGCATTTCCTAGATTTGGTTTGTCCCCGAGACATTTCGAAAGAGATACGTTTGTGAGCCTCTTGTCCCTCTGGCCGTCTGTCCCAGCAAACACCGACTGCCAGCCACGACCCCCCTCGTCAGATTACAGACCTGAACAACTGCGCCTGCCTTCACAGAGCAGTGATGACCTGGGCGCCCTCGAAGGCATCGTTGGGCTCCAGCTTCTGCCAGCCCTTGACGGCGCCGGGCTCGACGCACAGCATGTTCTTGTAGCCGTCCTTGGGGGCGAAGTCGGCGATGCCCTCGGCCTTTTCGATCCAGGGGTTCCAGACGACGACGTTGTCGAGGTTGTCGCGGACGACGGAGTAGACGGGCTCGCCGGCCTCGACGACGGTGACGGGGGCCTTGGGGCCGGCGGGGGGCGTGTAGATGCGGTCTGTCTCGGAGGTGATTGTGATGTCGCCGGACTGGGTCTTTGCGGCGCCGGCGTCGACCTTGTCGGTGTACGGGGCGTTGTCGAGGCCTTGGACTGAAATTTTTGTGATGTCCTGGTGGTCAAGGAGTTAGTATGCGGTGAATATAGCCGGGGCAAAAAGGGAACGTACGTTTACTCGGAGGTAGGTGTGCAGCAGAACCTGGCAGTCAAACGCCTCCTCGCCCTCGTTCGTGATGACAATTGACGTCGAGAGAGACTCGCGGTCGAGGGTGACGCTGTAGATGGCGCCGAACTTGTACCCCCACTTGGCCTTGGTCTCGTCGTCGAGGTTGGCCGAGGACAGGCCGAAGTCGAGCTTCACGGAGGAGTTGTCACTTCCCTCGCTGGTGGACTTGCCGAGGAACTCCCAGCGGGAGGAGCGGGCGAAGCCGTGCTGGGAGAGCTTGGCGGTGGGCGGGTGGGCGTCGGAAGGGGGGCCGAAGACGGGGAAGACGAGGGGGATGCCGCCGCGGACAGGCTTCGTGCCGTCGAAGACGGTGTTCTCGGAGAGCCAGAGGCGGTCGCGGCCGGAGGCGGACCTCCAGGAGAGGACGGTGGCGCCGTGGAGGAGGACGGAGACGGATTCGCCGGTGGGGAGGGTGGCGGTTACGCGGGTGTTTGAGTGGGTGATGTTGACGGTCGCTTGGGGCGGCAGGCCGGGTGTGGTTGCCAGGGCGGCGGGCTTGTTGGGCCGGTCGACCATTTTTGCTGGATGTTGGGCTGTTGTTTATGGAGGTATGTGTTTTCGAGCTTTGTGAGGTTTGGAGGTGGTATGCCGGGTGGGCTGTATTGGGACTATGTGTCGCGCGCGGGGTATGGCGGAGCTCTCAGTTGGAGGAGGTGGGATGGGGGGGAGGAGTGAAGGCGCTTTTGGCTGCGCCGGGCGGTCTAGGGAGATTTGGATGGAGTAATCGTGTGTCTGGCACGAAGATCGGGGTGGGTGAGAGGTTGTAGACGGACGAAAGATTGCAACTTTGGCAGGTCGAAGAGGTGGGATGTAGCAGTCGGACGGAGATGGTGGGCGGTGGGTATGTAAGCAATCTTTCTCGCAGCAGCAGTAGCAGCAGCGGCAGCAGCACAGCAGAAGCTTCGACGGGGAGTGAGGTCAGGTTCAATCGGCGGTCTTTGTTCCTTGCTGGGAAAGAAATGGCGGGGTAAAGTGACATTGGGCCGTACAATGTTTGGAGGGGGAGGGCCTAAGCTTAGGCCGCGGGCTTAGCGTTGGAGGTCGCGGAAGCCAGGGCAGCTTCAGCTTTTCTCAGGCACCTTGGGCAGCGGCCGGCAGGCACACCCCTCGCGGAGATACAACTGGGCCACGTAGCACTCCACCGTCGCAATGCGGAAAGGTACTTTGCATCCGAGTCTCCCGGGCTACCTGGCTAGGAGGCTGCCTAGGAACAATAACGTCAGACACGGAGGCGAGCAATCAGGAGCTCGGGGGGTTTAGTTTTAAGGTAGACCCAAGCTGCGACCGCGCCGCCGCATCAAGCACTGAGGTGCTGCCCGGTATGATAGGCACTTGATGGTGCCACAACAGCTGCAGCTGTGGTTATTGCCCGGCTCGTGATCGAGGACAGTTACAGGGAAGTTTTCGCCTACACAGTCTCTTTTTTACCCCCTTTGACTGACTTTCTGTCGCTCTGCTAAGCGTCTTGCATCCAAGCTTCTTCACGGGGCCGCCCACCGCCGAATTCCCACTCTGCTTCCGCCTGTCACTCTGAAACAAGCTTCATCCTCAACCACCTCCCGAACGACTCACCCCTGTTTGATCAGTCTTGGGGACAGCCCAGCAACACCCACCCCTCGGTAAGGTCAGGTAGGTTACGGGATAAGGCAGCCCACCTATCCAGGGGCTCTGTTTTGTGGCGAGCTTGTTTCCTTTCCTGGGTTCGGTTCGCAAAGAACTGCTTCCGAGCGGAACAGCTGTCTTTACTTGCTGCGTATAGATGCGTGGTTCTTCGGAGAACAGACTCTTCGAAAAGAACGCATGCAGGGGAGTTCTCGTTGACCCTGCAAAAGCTTGAGGCTGCTCGGGACGTTGTTGCAAGCCACGAGGCCGCCGGTGGACAAAGCCGCAACGGTGCCGGACCCGTCGGGGAAGGTGTCCCCACTTTCCCGGACGACATACCGCTTTCGTTCTCGCCGTCATGGACGACTTCAATAACCACGCGTGTTCCTGGGCTGATTGACAAAGAGACATACTTTTACTGGGTTTCTCCCTGTTCCTCTTTGGAGAATCACAACTGCGTTGCGAAGCGAGACCGATCGACGCTTCTATGGCATTCTCAGTGTCGTATTCACACTGATCGACCCGTTGTGGGAAGTCAAGCATGCCGCGTTGTTCACTGGCGTCGAACGCTCGCCGTCTGATGATGCGTTGCAAGATCAATACCGTATTTTACTCCTAGCTCATCGATGAGATAGTCTTGCAACCGCAGTGATCCTTGAAGATCTGTTTTCTAGAGGTTGTGATTGCCTGGCGAGGATATGAGGTGATGATCGGTGAGATGCCGGCCCGAGTTAACGATCGGAACTTCGGCTGTATTCGATCAACAGGAACATGAACTCAAACAGTCACGATAGATTGAGTTTCTAGGTTTCAGCATGTTCTTGTCGGTTTCAATCAACAGCGTCCATACCTCTTCAGACGTGCCTCAAAATCAACATGCCAACCCGGCAACAGCACGATTCATGCCCAAATAACCAGATGAACGCATAACACACTTTTTTCTTTTTAAAAATAAATATAATATTACAGAAGATACCCCCGTTTTTACGCCTTGTCCATCCGGAAACCAATGCTATCCCGATCGTCCCTCACAACACGGCCCCACTCCAGCAGCAGCCGGAAGAGGTAAATCTCCATGTCCTCCCTCCGAATCGCCTGCTCCGCCCACCGCTTCCCCTGCGTGGCGATCCACTCGCCGTCCTCCCACCGCGACTCCGTCTCGATGGTCCGCCCGTTGACCTTGCCCTTGCCGTTGAGCCCGACAAAGTACGCGAGCGTGCTGTGCAGCGCGTGGTACCGCAGGTCGATCGGCACGAAGTGCAGCCACGGGATCAGCCGCTCCGAGTACCACTCCCCAAACACCGACGTCAGGAAAGGCACGCTGCCGGCGGAGCGGATGGTGCGCAGAAAGTCCCGCGGCGGCGCCGAGTCCTCGTCGAGTAGGAACACGTAGCGATGCTCCAAGGGGTCCACGTCCGCCGGTACCTGCCCCAGCTCGGCGTGGGCGACGTCGCACGCCGGGCCCTGGCAGTCGTACTCGGCGATGCCGACGTTGAAGGGCAGAATGCCGTTGGCCTCGGCGGCGCGGACGGCCTCGTAAGCGAAGTAGTTCTTCTGCGCGGGCGCGACGAGCAGCATCGTCACCTCGTCCACGACCGTGGCGTTGTTGACAAGGTGCACAAGCCGGTTCTTGTGGCTGCCGCGGAGTGCCTCGTCGCTGATGGGCCGGTCGCCGATCGCGCCGCGCCAGTAGAGCGCGTCCTTGCGCTGGCGGAACGGCTTGTTGAGGTCGGCGGCCTCGTCCTCCGGCGGCACGAGGGGGATGAGGATGTCGTTGAAGCCGTCGGCCTTGGACCTGCCGAAGACGGGTATGAGTTCCTGAATCGGGTCGATCTTCGGGGCGGAGAGGTGAAAGCTGTGCAGGCGCGTGATATCTTGCTGGTCGCAGAGGGCCTTGGACTCGGCCCAGCTGAAGATGAACTGGTCTTCGGAGTGAAACTTGACGCAGTCGGAGCAGAAGTCGCGGATGTTCCAGTGGAGGCCTGAGCGGCCGGGGCTGTCGGCGGGACAAACCGAGGCCTCCAGTTCGCGGAAGGCTTTGGTGGAGGCGTATGCCATTGCATTTGACTGCGGTGCGGCGGGCGGCAGACCCAATTGGGGTTCTGCGGGTTGGTTTTGGGCGGGTGGTTGGATCTCCTGCTTCGGCTCCTCCTGCTTGGGAGGATTTTCTTGTTTCTGGCCCTCGGGCGCAGCATCTGGCTTCGGAGGCTCGGGAGGTGGCCCTCCAGCAGACTCCTCGGATCGTGAGGATAGCAACTTGAACTTCTTCGATGAGTTCCTACCAGCCTTGGTGTACCTGATCAAATCTGTCCATGGAGTCAGGACTCTCGGTTGATCAGCCAGGTTAATCGGTATTTTCATATCCGACAGATGCTCAACAAATCCGTGAATCATGTCAATCATCGCGTCGAGCATCTTCTTGTTCTCGTCGTCCCACATGTAGTTATGGATTGCTTTCTTGTCTTGGATCGTGACCACGGCCATCCGAGGCTCCTTCGGGATCCTCTCGTCGTACGCCTTGCGGATCGTCTCAGGCTTCATGCCCCAGAACGGAAGGATATCGCTCTCCATCTGCTCAAAGTGATCGATGATGACGGATTTGCGTTCCTTGGCGAACTCGTACCACTTGTCAAAGTTGGGCGGCGGGAGACGCCCGTAGTGTCTCTCCTGGTAGACTTCGGCGGCGATGCGGAGGCTGTCACTGGTCGAGGCTTGGCGCAGCCATCTGTCGCCGTTGACTCTGGCGTTGTAGATTTCCCTCTCGAGGGGATGGCCCTTGACTGTATCCGACTTGAGGGCACCATACAGGGTCATGGCCAAGAGGAAGAACGGCAGCACGACAACGATGACGACCCTCCGAACAAAGAGGACGGACCTAATGTTGGCGGTGTACAAGAGGGACCCGAAGCCCGTGGCGATGAAGTACAGCGGGAGGATGGCGGCGAACTTGGAGTGAATCTGCCATTGACCGATGCGCGTGACGTTTTGGTAGGCTGCTGACATTCCTGATATGAAGGTGATAACGCTGGCCGGGACGGAAGGACTGGTCTCGCAGACGAGGATGGCGAGCGAGCCGATCAACGCGGTGAAGGTGAAGCTGTCGATGAAAATGTCGAAGAAGTACAGCGAGTCGAGACCCCTGATGGACGTGGGGTATCCCTCATCGGTGGAGATGAAAGGAGAGGCGAGAATCTGGAAGACTTTGATGAAGACACCAGTCAGGGCCTGGATCACGCCGAGGGTTCTCAGCCTCAGCTTCGTTGTCTTTGTCCACGAGAGGATCCGGTGGAGGATGATGGCGATGGCGGCATCCAAGAACAATCCCAGCAATTGGAGGGCAAGTGTCAGGACCCGGCTGTCCAGGAGAGTCGAGCAGAAGAACGTCGAAGGAGGCTCTTGGTCGACGGCGAGAAATGTTCCGTAGCCGAGAATCAGAGCGCTCAGAAGCATAGTGACATGAGCACCATTAAGCCATCTCTTGACGTCTTCCCAGGCACTGTCCCATGGCTCGAGAGGGCGCTCTGGAGGTGGCAGTGGTCTTCGGCAGTAGTAGATGTCGTAAAACACTAATAGCGTGCACAGAAGAGACTGTTACACGGTCAGTTTTGTCCCTCGACACAAATTTGGTCAACGTACTTGGACTCCCGGCGTGGAGCACTGCAACTGCGCCGTTACCTGATGAAAAACCTCCAACCTCAGGAAGACCATGAAGACCAACAAGGGCACATAGTACCGCCTCGGTCTGGCGGGGACAGAGGCCTCAAACGTGCCCTTCAGCGCCGTCTCATCTGCCCAAATGTCAGTCTCATCCGCACCCTCATTTTAAGATTCCCCTTTTTCAAACTCACCAAACCTGCCATCAGCACCCGGTAGCCATTTCGCCAAGTAACTCAAGCCCCACGTCAAGCCGCCGGATATCAAAAATATCAGAACGGAAGACAACCTCGGCCATTCTGCGAGCACACGTCAGCGTCCTGTGAAACTTTGTGGCGCGAAACACTTCTTACCAACCAGAGAATGTCTTTCAAAATTATACGAAATCCATAGAAACGATACAACAGCACTATCACCCAACGTTAGTCAATTCTTGATGTTCCACAATAATAAGCCAGACCAAAAATAAAGACTTCAACGTCGTTGCTCGGGCCCTTTTTGTAAATTGCTTACCAAAGCGCCGTGAGATGCACATGCGCATCGCGTGCCATCACCGCGAAAAGGAGATGGTGGGAACAGCGTTCAAGCCTCCACAGCAGCTGCCATCAAACGAGAAATGGCGAGTTGAAAACAAACAAACAAGTCAATTGGAAACAAGGTGAGCTTGCCGAGAAGCCCGAACACTCCGCCGGATTTTCATTCAAAGACGAACTTTACGGATGGAACACGGAGCGAACACTGTCCAGAGGCCAGGAACGGGCTGACCTGGGCCGATCCAGGGGGTGGCCCGGGTCCCCCAGCGGGCAGGATCTGTAATTACATAAGCCCAGTTCAACGGCACAGCACGCCCGAGGTGGAGGGATGTGAAGAAAACCCCTTTAAACGACGCGTGCCCACCCTGGCTCCGCCACCCCTGGACCGCGTCAAGCTTCCTTCCGTTCCTTTCTGCCTGGAGCATACGAGACAGCAGCTGGCGGATTGGGACGTTACGGTTTGGGATACCCACTTCCAAAGGACCGTCCTCCGTATTCCCCGTCCCTCCCGCGCTCGGCATCGACGGCGATCTTCGTGGGCTGACATCACACCCATCTTCTCCCACCACAAAGACCAATTCTTAACTTTTACTGCTGCTCATCACTCGACATCTCCACCAATGGCGCAGATATGTCCGGCCTCAATGACTCCCCCATAGTAAAACGCCTCGCCGTACCGGCAGTATGCCTCCTCATCGCCTTCCTCGCCTACTCTTCCCAGATCCTCTTCTACGTCGCCGACGACTCCCTCCCGCCCGGCCGGCTGTCCAAGACCGAAACCTACATCTTCAACACGTTGCTGCTATGTCTGTGGTACACCTACTACAAGGCATGCACCGTCGACCCCGGCCGGTACACCTTTCCCGACGAGGTCATCGAGGTCCCGGAGCCAGATGAATACGGCCTCCTCCGCCGCTGGTGCAGAAAGTGCTCCGCGCCCAAACCACCGCGGGCGCACCACTGCCGCTCATGCCGCCGCTGCGTGCCCAGGATGGACCACCACGTGAGCCCATTCTTCCCTCTCTGCTAGCCATTCTAACATCGTCCCCCTCGGCAGTGCCCCTGGACCTCGAACTGCGTCTCGATGCGAACCTTCCCGCACTTCCTCCGCTTCCTCCTCTACACCAACCTCTCCCTCTGGACCCTCGCCCGCCACCTGTACCTCCGCTTCGCCGACCTCTGGGCCCACCGCGCCCTGCCCTCCTACCTCGGCCCCTCCCTCCCCGTCCTCGTCCACCTCACCCTCCTCTCCCTCGTCACCTTCTTCACCTCCCTCGCCCTCTTCATTCTCTTCTTCTCCACCCTGCGCGGCTGGGTCCTCAACGAGACCATGATCGAGGGCTGGGAGCTCGACCGCCACACCGCCCTCTGCGAGCGCACCTCCAAGAACGGCAGCGGCGACTTCTGGTCCGTCACCGGCCCCGACGGCAAGAAGCTCCGCCTCGAAAAGGTCGAGTTCCCCTACGACGTCGGCATCTTCGACAACCTCGCCCAGACGATGGGCACGCGCAACGTGCTGCTGTGGTTCTTCCCCTTTGCGGGGAACCCCGAGATCAGCAAGAGCGGGACGGGGTGCGGGTGGGAGTGGCCCGAGAACGGGATCAACAGGACGGAGGGCATGTGGCCGCCGCCGGACCCGGATAAGATGCGCAGGGGCCAGGGCGGCTGGCCCGGAGCGGCGAGGGGCGCGGAGGGCGTGCGGGTGCCGCGGTACGCGAGTAAAGAGGAGGAATTGGAGGCGTTCAAGTCACGGCAGGAGGCGGACAGGAAGAGGTGGGCGGGGGAGAGGTCGAGGCTCATGGCGGAGCTGGAGGAAGCGAATTACGAACTCGTCTCAGAGGAGTCTGACGACGGGTATGAGCAAGGGGCTGACGGCGAGCCGGGGTGGACGAATACCGATGGCGAGAGGCTGCAAGACTTTGGGGTGGACGAGGATGAAGACATGACGGATGACGACGACGTCCCTCTCGCCGAGATCCTGCGTCGGAGGAAGGTCCTGCAAAAGGACGGAGAAGAATAGACAAATACGACAACATCACAAAGATAAAAAAGAAAAAATGAACCCCGGATTTTAGTAGAGAAATCTTTTCTTGGGATAGTTCCCCAGGTTTCTATACTAATCCTCGCCTCAAACCAACACAATGGGGAGGGGCATCCAAAGGAAGGGCTCGCACATGCCATTGAATCCCCTAGACTCCAAATTCTACCAGACAAAAAAAGGTCGGCACACAAGACGCAGGACTGCAAATCCTCCCTTCCGCCCATAGGGTTGCCCTGATCCTGTATGCAGAAAGAAACTCGAGAGAAAAAAACAAGGAATTTGAAAAAAAGGGCAAAGGTTTGGGTTTTTGTGTGACCATGAACCGCTTTAGCCACTCTAGACGCATTTCCACGGTCTTCTTTTTTTCCATCCCTCCATCAAGTGCCAAAAGAGTAGCTAGCAATCGTGTCGTGCAATCATGAAGCATCAATCCAGGGTGGGGTCCAGATCTATAACAAGAACCCGACGACGGTACCGTCCCTGACAGTCCACGCACAGAGAAACAGCGGCAGCTCGATTACCAGTCATCGTCCTCGTCCTTCGCCATCGCGTTCTTTCTCGCGAGCAAGGCGTCCGCCAAGCTGTTGCCCAGGCTGGGCGTGGGGGTGTTGCTGCGGCTGTCGGAGCCGTTGGATCCGTTCAAGCTAAGACCGGAGTCGCGGGCGGGAGTAGGAGCAGGCTTGCGGCCGGCAGCGGGACGCTTGACGGGAGGTTGAGGGGGGGTAGGCTTGCCACGGGCAGCCCCGCCGTTGGGGGGAGGAGGAGGCGGGCGAGGGGCCACGACCGGAGCGGGAGCTTGCTCCTCGACGTAAGCAGCGGGCACCCAGGCTTGACCTCCGGTGTGCTTGGCGAGCCACCAGCCTAGGGAAGTTAGTTTCTTACGCAGTGACGAAATGGGCGGGTGGGCTTACCGTTGTTCTCCTTCTGGACAATCTCAATAAGATCGCCAGCGCGGATCGTGAGCTCGTTCTCTCGCTGGCCTGCGAAGTCGTAGAGGACCTTGGCCATAATCCTGCCGGGCGCGGGAGGCGCAGCGGGGGGAGGCGGAGGGGGCATTCTGGTTGCGGCAGTCGGCTTGGTGTGTGTGGGAATAGCTGCAGAGGCGGCTTGTTGTTGACGGCCAAAGGGTCCTGTCTTGGCTGAGCTGACAGAACTGTTGGAGCTGTTGGAGACAACTGAGCTGGCAGCAGCAGGAATCTGAGGAGTAATGGAGGGTCCCTTCTTCGCTGAAGAGGCACCTGGGCGGGGCTGGGGCCGGCTGCCAGTAGTGCGAGATGGTCTGCCATTGGGACCACCAGGCTTGATGAGCTTGCCGCGCGTGATGGGCTTAGGAGGGACTGGCTTGCCCTTCGGTGTCGGCTTGGAGACAGAGGAAGGGGGCTCGCCAGGCTGGGTGTGTACAGCTCCACTCTTGTAGTAGTCGACAGGTTGCTGAGAGTCTTTGAGGACCTTCACAGTCTGCATCTTGCCGGGCTTCTTTGCGTACTCGATTACTTCACCAATCTTCAAGCTAAAGCCACCAGGCATGACCTGTTGCATCTGCGTGAACATCTCGGTCTTCAGTACACAGTTCAACAAAGGATCAGCCTCTTGTGGCGATCCCACGCCTAGGGAGAACCAATCGTCGCGAGCGGTCGAAGTACCAATGAACTTAATGGCACCCAACGGCATTGAGCGCTCCACAGAGATCTGCGGCTGGTGGTTGACCAGCATCTGCGCGACGATGTAGAACTTGCTGTTTGTGACCACCAGGATTCGGGGACTAGGCTTGCTGGATCTGCCGAACTTGGCCTCAAGGATCTCTCCGCGGCAAGAGAAGACAGCTCTCTCGTTGCTGCCGATGCCAATCGCGTTTCTGATCTGAGAACCAGGACCAGCTGCTGCGTTGATGCCAAGGTAGTCTCCCAAGAATCTGCGAGAGCCAAGCAAACTGTATCTGCGTCTCTCTTTCCGGTTCTGGAGGACTCTGTGGCCCTGATCACGCAGCTGCAAGAACTCGGCGCCGGTTCTCTTCTTACGCCAGAACCGTTGAATACGAGTGGCAGACTCTGCACGGTAGGCCAGGTAGGCACGCCACATGCGCTGAATACGGGTGGCCATGTTGTGCCAGTATCGGTCTCTCATGTGCTCGAGAGCAAAAAGGGTCTCTGGTGACTTGATGAAGGCCTTGGTGGTACCCATCTGCCACTCCTCCTTGGGGATACTTGTGTCCTTGAGAATCTGCTGGACCGCCTGCTGGTATGATCCTTGCCATGTGTACTCACCAGCGTAGGAGGTGGCAGGCGACAGCAGGAAGAAGCGGTCGACGAACTTCTCGAATGTCTGTCTGTATGCGAAACCGGCGCGGCGAATGCGAACGTTCTCCTGGAGACCGAGGTACTTGATCTGATGCAGGACATTGGGCACGTTGTACTCGGAGTACGACTTGTTCTCGTTGGGCTTGATGGTTCGGATGTATGAAGGCTGGCACTTCATCAAGGTCTCGACGAGAGCGTTCGCCGAGGCTCTGATTCTATCACCGGCGGAGGGCGGCTGCTTTCGGTTGTCTTGATCGACTTGGTGAGGGAACAAAGTGTGAACGAATTTGTTGCCGCTGGTGCCGAAGAGGTTGAGCAGACCCTTGAGCAGAAGATCCTTGTTCTTGTCCGTGATTCCATCGACCGTGTAGGCGACATCACCGGCGTAGTGCTTGATGATGAAGCTGCCTTGGCGAGGGGTCAAGTGAGGGTTGGACATACCGTTGATGCTCTGCATAAAAGTGCGGTCAGAAGCAGCGGGGTCGGCGTGGGCGGTCTTGGTCGCATCCTTCATGGCGGACAAGATACCGGGAGGCCGGACCGCCTCGATGAGGTCGCACACGATCTTGTTGTCGAAGTACTTGATAGGTGTCCACTGAATCTGTTCGCGTGCGTACTCGTCTTGCTCAGCCTTGAGGGTCAACTGAATGAAAATCTGCTGCAGCTTCTCGTTCACGTAGTTGATGCAGAGCTGCTCGAAACTGTTCTTCTCGAAAATCTCGAAGCCGTAGATATCGAGGATACCAATGTTGTTGATCGTTGCCTCCTTCGCCTTCAGAGACTTGTTGACGCGCTCGACAATCCAGTCAAAGAGGTTGTTGTAGATTGCCTTAGACAGAGCATCTCGGGTCGCGACGGCCTGGGAAACGTTCGTGGGGGATTCGATGACCTCGCCATTTCGCGGAGTGAGGATACGGATCGTGATGGCCTTGATCAGCTGGTCCGGGGTGACCTCCAACAGGTAGGCCAAGAAGTCTACGACCGACTGGTCGCTAACCGCGGCGTAACCGTCCTGACCCTCGTGGAATTGAATGTTGCCAGCCCACAGGATGGCAGCCAGCATGCGGTGTATCTCGTCCTGCTCAGCCTGAGAGAGACCGATAATCTTCATGGCCTGGAGGGTATCGTTGTATTCGGCCAAGTCGTCGATTCCGTCAACCTCGAGACACTTCGATCTGCTAGTGTAAACGTATGTCTCGGGCGTTTGAATGCCGAATTGTTGGCGGTAGTTCTGGGAGGCGCCCTTGGTGAACTGGTAGAAGATGTGGAAGTTTCGCTCGTTGGTGATCTGGCCGACGACTCTCGACTTCTCAAGGAGGTAGTTTGTGATGTCGGCACCGACGGGCTCGCCCTGCGCATTGAAGTGAATCTGCAGATACTTGCCGAAACGGGACGAGTTGTTATTCCTCAGGGTCTTTGCGTTTCCAAAAGACTCCAGCAAAGGATTGGTTGCCAGCACCATGTCCTTGACCTTCTTGATGTCGCCCGATTCTCCTCCCGACACGTTGGCGATGTACTGCATGATGCGCTTGGCAGCCTCGGTCTTGCCAGCACCCGACTCTCCAGAAATGATGACACACTGGTTGTCCTGGTAGGCCTTCATGTTGTAGTACGCGGATTCGGCGATAGCGAACACGTGCGGGGGCATCTCGAGACGGTTCTTGCCCTTGTAGCTGTCGAGGACCTGGTCGGTGTAGATACCCAGATCCCGGAAGGGATTAACGGAGACCAAGACATGGCCAATGTAGGTGTAGATTTCGGCGCCCTCGAATCGCTTCTTGAGGTTCTCGTTGATAGCTTCGTTGGACACCTTACTGAGCAACGTAAGATCCGAAACGCCAATCTCCTTCTTCTTGGTGACCTCGTAGGTGGCCTTCTTGGGCTTGCCGCCGCCGCCCGCCGCACCGGAGGGGCCGGCCGGGCCTGTCCTCGCGGACTTGTCCTTGGGACGTCGTGAGATACCCTAGAGATGACACGGGCGTTGGTCAGTTTCTGTGGCTTCTGGCAGTCGGGAGGCGGTGGGGGATTCGGGGTCGCCAGTCGGAGGTGGGAATAGGGTGCGGGCGGGGCATGAAGCAAGCGTCTCACCATGCTGGGCAGTTCTCAATGAGGGAATGCCGGTATCTCTGTGTAGTTGCGCGCAGGCAAACAAGACGGTGAGGATATATTGCGCTTGGTAGGATGAAAGAGCGAAAAAGTTGCTTTTTTGCTGAGTGAGAGACTGGAAGGAAGGCGCACCAGAAAGTGACGTTGCGGTGCGGTGCGGACGGAGGGATTACGCAGGTGCAGTGTGGCTGGTTCTTGCCCGAGATCCAAATCCAAACGTTGACCAACAGACGGTCTGCTGGCTGGCTCGGCGCAGTGGTCCCGGTCGGTCGGTGGTGCTGGCTGCTGGTGCCTGACGACACTGGTATTACGCCCAGCCTGCCCGTTCCCAGCGCCCACGTCCTTGCCTTAGTTGGTACCTTAGGGGGAATTTCTGGCGGGGCTTTTCTGGGGGGCTCAGTCAGCCAATGACCGAGGTTCTCCCGTGTCATGCACAGCCTCAAGCCGGAGAATCGGTGGCGTCTGGTTCCGCGTAATGCTCACGATGCTTTAGCGCTCCTCCTTAGGCGAATGGTAGCTCCACTCATCTTTATGCCCCCCTGTCCACCCCGCCCTCATGCTGCGGGAGATTTTCTTGGAAGTTTCTGCCAAAAAAAGACCTGACTCTTGCTCCTGCCTGCCCGCGTGTCTGGAATAAGACTCTGAGGTCATAGCTTTCATCAGGTTTTCCCTCGGCGCCCATTGGTGGACTACATAGTACATATCGTTTTACGTTTGCGTGTGCCATGCCAAACGATAAAAAGTCCATTCTCGCAGCCCTTCGCAGTCTCATGTGTACCCAAGGTCAATTTAAGGTCTGGCCATGGTTCGTCCCAGAGACAGCGCGTGTAGCGCGGGACTGTTTCACCCCTCAACGTGGAAATGTTCTAAGCGCCAGCCCGGCTCAAGTTGGCCCCTCCGACCCTGTTTGCGGCCTGTCCCGCAGCCGGCGGATCGTCACTGTCAAGGCTCTTTAGAGAGCCCTCTTCCCAACGACCCAACGGGTTGCAAACCTCGATATCACTTGATTGATAAAGCCGACGTCAGCGGCATCCGAGGATGCCGACGGTGGGATTTCCAAGACGGCGCACCTTCTTCATTATGTCTGTCTTATATGCTCTATCTACTAGCCCTGTTTGCTACTCATAATATTCGTCGTAACATTGCTGTCATGATCTTCGCTGGCCCAGCTTTCTTTTCTCTGTAACCTTATCAAGGCCAGAGCGCACATCGCTTATCTTATCCCGGGAGCCCCAGTCCCAGACCCCTCACGATCCTAACGTCGTCCGCTTGGCGTTCGAGCGCTATCCTCATCTTTTCGTTATACTGTTTTTCTGCCTCTTCAACCCTCGCCTCTTCTTCCGACAGTTGTCTCTCTTCTTCAAAATCGTCTGCTTGGAACCCAGGCTTGCTCGAGAAGCTGACGAGGCCGAGCTTCTCACCGGTCCAGAACAAGATGTCATCATCGTTGACATTGTCCACTCCGGTGCGTGTTTGTGTCGATAAGATCTTTCTGGCAAGATCGTCTGAGCCCGGCATCGACGCGAACAAGGACGGCCGTTCCGAGACTTCGCTATGGCCGATCTTATGCCGCCGTACCTCGGTGAAACCATCTCGTTCAAACCACTTCAAAAGGCCAGAACCGTCAGAAAAGACGATCCGGGTGCCCTGATTCGTCACCGATAGGATCTTGGACTGAGAAGACGTCTGCCGGTTCTTCATGGTAGAGTTCTGCATGAGAGCTGCGGAGGAGTTTCCTTGCGGCGGGCACAAGCCGTACAACTCCAACGATCCTTTGGTATTGTATTCGCCTGCGGCGATGAGAGTACGACCGCCGGCCTTCATCTTGGAGTCCAGGACTTGCTCCAAAGACAGCTCCGCCTTTCGACGTATCTCGCTATCCATCGTTGAGAAAGGATAAGGCAAAGACGCAAGACTTGAAAGCCTGGCCCCGGAGTGAATCGATCCTACAATCGACGGGAACGTGCGTCGATCGTAGTGGAGGATATTGGAAAAACGCCCTGCGACGTAAATGTCATCTGAAAAGGAATGCTCGTCGTTCGGGTTCGGCAGATGCAGGATGCTCAGAGGCGTGGGTTGAGACAGGGGCGCATACACCGGTAGCGGATCCGAATCGAAGGGCGACTCATCCGGAGAATTTACCGCTAGCACATCAATCTTCTCGACGATGTCCCTCGGCGTCCTCACCCTGGCCCTGTAATCGAAAAGATGAATCCCTAGTGATGTCCCAACGGTCAGTGGCAAGCCAGGAGCGGCAGGAGATAGGGCTGTGATGGACCACTCGAACGACTGCTCCGACGCGACTTCGAGACGATTCAGATCGACCTCCCGCAGATGTCCTTGGACAGCAACGAAAGCCCTGCCGGAGAAGTCGTCCACAGCGATGCACTCCGTCACCCCAGTGTCAATCTTCCTAGACCGTCCCATGGTCTGTGGTCCGTCGAGATAGAGCACCCCATCATGGCTTTTCCCGACCATGGCCCCCTTGCGCCCGCGAGACCCCTTCAAGTCCCAAATGCACATGGACCCATCGTCCAGTGGCGATACAGCCAGCAGTTCGTTGCTGCTTTGGTTCGGGCTGTAGAGGGCCATCCCCCTGACGTCTAGCGTATCCTCTTCGTTTCCGTCCCGAATCCTCGGCTGCTGCAGCCAGCTCGTCGCAATGGGCGCATATCGCTGGATGTACTCGTTGTACCAGAAGACCGGCTCAGTCGGAAACGAAGGGTCCCAGTTGGCCATATCCCTCTGCCTGCGCTGTTCCCCCGTCTCTTCATCGTAAAAGTGCTGTGGCGGTTCCGTACCGCTCTGCTCTTGGCTCAGATGCACGGCAGCGCTCAGAAGAGGCTCGTCAATGACGTCGTCGTCGACGATGCGGGATAGGCGGCGGCGACGCTGAATGGACTCCAGAAACGGCGACTCGTCGAATGTCCGTGATCGCCAGTGGCTGTTATCGAGGGAGATCTTTTGCAGCTTTCGGCAGACGAGCTGTAGGCCGGGGAAGTCGTGAGGCTCGAGAACTGGGAAACCCGATTCCGGGCCTTGTCAGCTGCAAAATCTGGGGTGCAGAGCCAAGACGGCGAAGCAGGGCGGAACTTACAAGACAGGACGCGCAGCAGTATCTCGTCCGGAAGCTCGTCGAGCCTCTTCGGAGAGTATCGCGACGCCATTGTGGGTAAGTATGTTGGGGAAGCGTCCGAAGACTCATGCGAAGGGTACTTCTTTTAGCCCTGAGTTTCGGGGTGGCAGAGGGGAGCCCGGACAGGATCCTGGGAGAAGAGTGGAGGGTCGAAGGATGATCCTATCGCTATCGTTATCGGTATTCCTGGCGCCCTAGCCCTTTACAGATTAGTGCAGATCCGGGGGTGGACCGGGTAGAAACGCCTGGACTTTTTGGGTGGGTTGCGCTGTCAAAGCTCCAGTTGTTTTGCTCGTCTCGTGCCGTCCTCTCGCTAATTAAAGGTTGTCGCTTCGTCAACAGCACATGCCAATCTGCTTGCTGCTAGCGGCTCTGTGCTCACCTCACACGTTGCGTTGCAGCTTCCAGAGTTTCCTTCATCGCGATTATCAATGACTGGAATTTTTCATGATCCAGACCGCGGGAAGCGGTGAGTCTCCCCCTCGAATGTCTGAAACAGTACAGCCACGTTCTTTTTTCCTCCAGACAGCAACCGCGGGTACACAACAGGAGGCCAATCCCGCTCGGCTCTTGAAGCCACTGCAACCGTCGAATCCTTGGCAACGAGCCGATTCCGCATTCCCGTCGTACCTCCACAGCCTGATTTTCCACCGCGACTTGTTTCTACCTTATTGGGCTGCGATTTGTTGATACCAGGGTCTTTGTGTTACCCAGCCTGCAAGAGAGTGTCCTTTGAACGTGAGCGATGTTTGCGCGGCAATGCCATGCTTGCGATCCCTTTCGTTGAGTGGACGAAGTATTCCATGGTTGAAGTCGTTGGTTCAGAATGCGCCTGCAAGGCAACGAGCATCGGCAACATTGACGGGCCAAATGTTGTGAGGGCAACATGTCTCCTGCGGCTGTTGCAGTACGAAACTCCAGTCACAAGAAGAGAAGCCTCTAAGCTTACTCCAAGATCCAGATAGACTGAAGTCTAGCCAGACCAGCTTCTGGCAGAGAAGAGGGATGGTTACATGTCGGGCAGTCACATTTCGATTTCGTTTCTATCTTCTCTCTCGTTGTCTTCGTCGCCCTGCTTCTCGTTGTCCCTCCCGCAAATATCTCCATCTCGATATTTACGTTCTCTCCATTCACCTTGCTGAGGTGTCTCACGATCCCCGATGGACCTCTATAAACTCCGATCATATACCTGCCGAGAAGATCATAGCTGGGACGATCTGCAGCAACCTTGATGATAATCATGACCGCGTGAACATGAGTCCTAGAAAGCTTGAGCCACCCGCATGGTCCCGTTATGGCCACGCGATCCAGTCTCTGGGGAAAGACGAACTGAACCGAGTGATTCAGAGCCTATGTGTTTATCCATGTCCCCACGTTATTTATACTAAGGCAATTCGAAGTGGCGCAACGGCGAACCTTCTCTCTCTGCGACATCGCAAACACGTTCTTCTTCGTTTCGTCACCAAAGCCAGCCAGAGTTCGACTCCTCTATCGCCCGACAACATGAGCAGCCCAACAAATTCACAAAATCCGTCGACGCCACCAACACACGACAGGGCCAGAGATCAATATCGGCACTCCCAGACAATGACAAAACCGGAAGTCTTCTTTTACGCAGAGAGATTGACCGAACTGACCAGGCTCAAGTGCTTCCATGGACACCTAACCCCCGTATCCAGGGGCTACCCTCGTCCTGCCTCCTGCCCAAGGTGCTACTACCTTGTCCAAGACATGGCGGAGTTATTCTACCAGACGTGTCCTGGCGATTGGCAGGGCGACGGCGCCTTCCTCAAAGAATGCCTCAAGGCCGCCGCATGGGGAAATACAAATCCAGACGTCACCATCGACATTGGCGCTTTCGTCTCGTACCGTTGGAAGCTGATACTCCTGGCCGACCAATTGATTAAGGATCTCGGTCTGCCCGTCCCCGGCAACCAGATGTGCGCGATGTGGAACGAATACGTGTGGCGAGGGGGGGTTCTACACAATTTGGAGGGCTTTTGGGAGAAGTATCATTGGGTGTGGGACATCTTCGCCCACGACCATCGCATGCCTGAAGCTTCCCCCGAGCAGGGCCCTGACTTTGAGCGCTTCCGCCGGTACCTGGCTGCGTCTGTTATGCAAGCGGACCTGCCGTTCAAGCCAACTCTGGCCATGATTGATCGAGTCGTGGACTACGTCGGACGCGCGAAGAATGGTGATGCCGACTTTCGGCTACGCTGGCAAAGATTTTGATATTGATCAAGAACAGTAGCAAGTTGGCTCCGTTCACCATGCTTACCGGAACACGTTCTATGCAATCGGGCCGTCCTCCTCCCGTCTCTCGCTCTTCCGGAAGCAAATCATTAGGCCCAGGTCGTAGACCACCTTAAGGCATCCGGCACTCACGAAGGCCACCCAGAAGAGGTTACGATCCACCAGCACTCCAACGCCGAGGGGACCTACACTCTGCGCAGCCGTCTTGAGGACATTGACAAGTCCCATCACTGTGGTTCGTTCCTTGGGTTTCAGTATTCCGGCTACGAAGGCTGCCCTGGGTGCCACATCCATGGACTGGGTTAAAGCCCGCAGAATCAAGAGAACTATCGCAGCGTTGACGGATTGCGGCAAAGGTAGGAGGGCAGTGAATACTGCGGAGGGGAGGTGGGTGAACACCATCGTCTGGTTTGGCTTGTAAGCTTGGAGTTTCTGGGAGGAGTCTTCCTGGGAGCTTGATACTTACGTTGAGGTTACCGATACGCTTCGCCAGAGAGGATGCAACCAAGGTGGTTACCACAGCTAGAAAGCTGCATACGAAGAACATGGATCCGAGAAGGCCGTTGTCCATGTCAAACTTCCACCGGAAGAAGAAGGCAATCCAGGATCTAGGAACACTCAGTTAGCTTCTTATTGACAGCCGAATAGACAAAGTTCACATACTGTGGTGTAAGACTCGAAGCAAAGGAGTCGAGTGCGAAGAGGAGACACAGCGGTATAACGACCGGAAAGCTGCTCTTCTGAATGCCGGGCACCAGCTTTCGCCTCCAGCCCGCGGTCTCAACCTGTGACTCAGCTCTCTCTGCGCCGAGGATGGGCCTTGTCTCGTCTTCGTCATGAGCTTCGGGTTCCGCCTCGGAGTCGCGGCTGAGCAGCAGGACTAGCGCGAGCTTGAATACACCCAACGTCGAATACCCGTAGAAGACTGCTCGATATGCGGCTTCGTCGCTCCAGCCGGAATTACTAGTTAGCGACTGAGCTGTCCAGCCACTCGTCATGGCTCCAACTGCCGTCCCGGCTGCTCCCACGAGGCTGTACCATGCATACACATCGCTTCTGTCATTGGCAGTGGCCAGATGGGCTACGATACTCTCCTCGACAGCACGGAATGGACCAATCTCATTGCCTCTGTGTCAAAGATCAGCTTGTTATTCAAAGAGTCTGAAAACAAAATAGAATCATACCCGGGGCTGATGACTCCAAAGACCGCCGCAGCCAACAAGATCCAGAAGCTGCCACACAACCCGAACGCGACACCGCTGGCGACCATAAGCGCTGCCCCGAACGCCAAGACGAGTCTCCGACCAACCCCATCGGCGCAAGAAGTGAGAACCAGGCTGATGCAAGTATCGCCAACAAGAGTCAATGCCATGAACAGACCAATTCGCGTGGCCGAGAAGCCTAGGAGTTCGAGGTATGCGACCAGATGCAGGGTGGTCGCGCCGTACGCGAACATGCGGATAAAGCGCTGGAGACATATCAACTTGACGTCTGTGTGACACCTACAAAGACTTTGCAGTCCACTCTCGGCAAAGCCGCGGGAAAAAAGTTGGCGGAACATCTTTTGGATGCTGAATTGAGGGTGTGACTTGGGGAAGAAATGCGCCTGTCAGGCCGGCAGGGCGAACTTTGAAGGACGCGCGATGAAGTGGGTCGCGGATTTGATGTTTCCGCATTATCGAGAGATAGGGCGCAGATGACATACATATTTAAATCCGACCAATTCCACCTGAAAATAACTCTCTATAAGTCCCAGTTCAATTGTGAGTAGTCTGTCCTGCGATAATTTGAGGCGGATGGGCTCGGCAAAATTGTGCATAGGCTCTCACAATGTAGAGACTAGCGTATTACATACATATGGAGCCTGGAAAAGTCCTGCCTTTTGCTAGACATGCTGTGACAGTGGCCACTTCGGCCATGTTCTGCAGGAGATACGTACAGTGAGAAGAGATAATGGAGATAATCGCTAATTACAGGAATGATGGAGATGGCGATGGGCCGGGAGACCTTAACGACGGTCACAACCAAAGAGAAGGGCAATCAATCTACACAGCATGGCTGGCAAACTCTTTTGATGCGTATTTCCAACTACCTTAGAAAACGTGATCCGGGGTTTCTACGGAGTTGAAGTATTTGTCAGATATGTCTACCTAACTTACATGAGGTATAATGCAAACAGGACCCTGTTAATTGCCATGACGAAGGTCCATACTGGCGGCATCCTGATCCGAAATTCGAACATGACTTGGTCGTCTCTGATGACTCTCAAAATGACTGCCGTACGGTTTATGGGCTAGAAGTCCCGGAGAAAGGCCTTGAGTTGCTGCCGCATCCAACAGTTTCCCGTTCGCAACTGGTTCCATACGCGAGCCGCTCCTGCTCTGTACCTCTGGGTTCACACGGTCGATCGCGATACCCCGATCCGCAACGACCTTGCCACCCGTGGCTGTAGACATGGGTATGCTAGTAAGGTCGATGTCATCTGTTCCAATTGCTTTCAATATTAACATCAACCATCTGATCAGAGCTAGAATCATAACCTCGGGAATTCGCCAGACTATTTGCTTTGAGTCGGTTGATTTGGTCGAGATAGTGTCGTTACTATCGTTGACCAGGGTCTCATCTCCGCTGGACGAGTTGCCGCTACATTCTGGCCGAGAAATCTTAAAAGCTGGCGGCCGTTGACTTTCTTGTAGCAGAAACTCCTTCAGCTCGTTGATACCTTCATCCGAGGCTTCCTCCAAGCCGTTCAAAATGGTCTCGTCTGCATCGGGTAATGCGTCCGAGGCTATCTGCTCAAAAGTTGCCTGAGTAGGTCCTGGCATCTCTACGGGGATCGCCTCAAGATTTATCCTCTGCATATCCATGTTGAGACCAAATGCCAATTGGTCAAGCTTCTCGTTGAAGTCGTTTCGCGCTGTGGAGAGATCGATTTGAGTGACCATGACGTTATCTTTGTCGCCGGATCTCGAGCGAATTCTAAAACGTTGCTTCCCTCGTTGGGTAGTGCTCTTGAGGCGGCCCTCGATCTCGACGCACATGTTAACTGGCCTCCCGCTGTGTTCGAACGCAAAAGCTGTGTAAAATACGTGATTGTGTAGCGGCTTGTTCTCGGTGTCGTTTTCTGTAAGCTCCCATTCGAGACACCGTAAACCTATGCCGTCCTTAGCTCTTTTCTGTGTTCCTTTGAAGATCCAGCTGTCAAAGTATTGACGAGTAACATTTCGGCGAGTTCCCATCCCACCCAGTTCAATCATACCGCCAGCTCCTATGGTGGGTTGAAATGCCCTCTCGTTGGTTTCGAGGCTCACGCCCTGAGGGCCGTAAATGGCGTGAGGCCCAAAGTACTCCGTGACTTGCACAGCGTGTTCCGAATCCAAGGATGTCTGGATAGGCTTCCTACGACTGAACCTGCCATTGGGAACAGGCACATCTTCGTTTAGTGTGATGAGAATGTTGGCGTTGCTGAGCATGTGTTCCGGGGGTTGCTTGAAAGAGATGTCGATGTACACGATGCCCGCTAGGTTCCGATCTGGCCCAAGCACTCCCCATCGCGCCTTTCTCCAACGATAATTGCACTCGATCTCGACTTTCCCAATGCTGCTCGATCCCAACAATAGATGAGATCCAACAGCTGCTTCTTCATTGAACCGTTCGAAGTCGGACCGGCCGAAACGACGAATCCTCAGCCCAGGCCGGGCCTGACTGCGTCTGACGTCCGATTTCGGTTCAATGGCAACATCTGCCAATCTTGGAGCGCGTGCTTGCCGTTCATGCTCGCTCTGACGACGACTCTCACTGATGCTGTGTTTACTTCTCTTCGCTGCCTTGTGGGCAGGGATCGGAGGGTCAGGGTCGCCATAGCCGCCCTTATAATACGCTCTAGCGGGAATTTCATCTCCTGTCATTTTGTGCTTTGAGATAGCTGTCAGGTTGTCAACGATCTGATTGATGAAGAGAAATGTCGAGTTCGGGAATGTCTGAGGCAAGTTCATCTAGGCTCTTAGGTTTCTCAACCGTTGGTGTTAGGAGCCCTCGATGTGATACTAGGTATGCACAACAAGTGGCGGAGGCCTGCATGCGAGACGCTCTTCGCTCATTTGGGAAGCAACTCCCTACCCTTGCTTGCATGAAGCTTTACCGAGACTGGACGTCGGCTATCAAAGCCTTGTCTTGGACACCACTCCAGCCGCTGGCGAAGACGTTGCATCCACTGACCTCGAAAACCAGCTTGGCCCTGAAGTGGCTGGGGCAGCACAGCCTGCCGATTGTGAGGTAAGCTGCATACACAGCTAGGCGCAGTCCGAACACATGCAGATTGGGTATTCCCATACAATTCGTGTCATTTTCTTTCCAGAGATCTATCTGTCTGCCTATACAAGACACCAGGTGATTTACCGCGTTTGAGACTGCTCCCTTCGTCGTAGTTCGCTCCACATACATCAGTCTTTGTGCTGCGAGGCACTCGCCTTCGAAGCCAACATGCAACACAACTTACAGGGCCCCCCGCGGGAAAAGAGAATCGAAGCATCACTCGATGAAAACGAGCAATTGAATCCACTTCCTATGAGATCACGATCGGCACAAGGTCACAACACACCAAAACCCCTCGAAAAATTATCACCACCAGACATGTCCTTTCTCAACAACGACCAACATCATCAGAAACATCTTCCTGTTGCAGTTTCAACAGAGCAGCCCAGTCCACGTCATAACAATCAACAACAATTTCGAACCGAAAAAGGTATTTCACGAGCACTCGGCGAGGCATATGCTGCAAGAGAGCAAAGCTTACAAAACCTTCGAGAGCCTTGGAAGACACAAGAATATGACATAAACGAAGAAGACAAGGCAGCTGTAGAGACGAGACGCGCCGAGCTCTCCCTAGATCTAGAACGGGCGCAAAAAGAATCTGACTTTGGGGGTGACCGGAGGGTCTCTCTTCTTAAAGGTCAAACGGGATTCTCTCGGCCATACATTTCAACCGAAAACCACGCACCGAATTCCTTTAGCTGGAGGCCCCCAAGAATAATCAATGAAGCGCCTTCACAGCCAGAGCCCAGGCCACAGAGCCCACCACGACCCAGAAGACGGCCGGTGCCAGTCCAAGAACAAGAAGTGGCATGGAAAAGACGCAGCATGAAATCCGAGAAAGAACTCCATACCAGCAAGCCTTCCTCTACCGCGGATGTCTATGTCGACCCCAAGGCTCGTCGAGATATCACTTTGCATTTGGATCTGGATGTGACCAAAGATGTAGAAGAAGAACTCGAAGAGTTCTCAAAGCTCAGAAGAATTGGACATTTCAAGGCGGCAAAGCGATATTTCGAGGAGCATCTCAAAAGCTGCATCGACAACGCATACGTCTTGGATCAATATGGTCAATTCTTGTTGGAAACTTCAGACGTCCATACGCTCAACAAATTGGTGAGGGAGTACCCTGCAGTAGATTCAGATACTGCTGCATCAGCGAACTGGTCCCTTATTTGTGAGCGAGCCCTTCAATATGATGACAATATTTGCCCGCAAGGTAAATGGCGAAAGACACCAAGCCTTCGGAGCTTGCTTAGAAACTGGCCAGACCTGGACTCTACTGAAGTAAGTTCACTGTCGTACGCTTGGATCAAGATTGTCTAACCAGTGTTCAGTTGCAATGTCTCATCAATGACCTGCGTGTTGTCAGATACGCAGGCTCCACAATGGAGCATACCGCAAGAGAATATGGCGAGTTGTATGCACATCTCCGGCATGAAGATCGCATTTGGGACTTTAGAGACCTGTGTTACGGGCTTTTTGCCGCTAAGTCGCTCGAGGAAACGATTCACTACCTTTTTAACAAACACTTATCCTTGGAGAACGAAAACGCGCAAGGGGTTATCCGAGTGATTCAAGAACACTGGAAAGGTTCTGCCGAAGATGAGGTGACATCCTTAGCTTTGCTGGATATCTTCACATTGTTCACCATGTGGGCCCTGGACGCTGCCAGTATTCGGTATGAAGATTCACTGGACGACTCAGAGGAGCTTCAGACCGCCAAGATGTACCTAAAAATTGCTCATCACTACGCCACTGAAGTCCTGCGCCAAAACCCTCTCAACCTGAAGTCTAGACCCTACCTCCAGTGGGTTGTTGCCAAAGTCCTCGTGGAGACCAACACTACGGCCCGCTGCGGACAAGCTGCCCTTGCGAAGTATCTATCTAATCTAAGAGGGGAGATGATGGTCAGCTCAGGGGCTTTTCGTGGACTGCTTGCTTACAGCAGCTGGAATACTCATCCCCGAATCCCGATGTACATTTGGTCGACTTGTGCAACTTATGGCGCTTCGTAGGGAATCGGTCGGGTCTGCTGAGGGCTTATCTTAATCGATACATCTTGAAGCGATCGCCAAGCGCTAGCAACGATTTGAGAAGTGAACTTCTAGAGTTCGGGGATTCTGAGTGTGACGTCTACTTACAGAAAACTAGATTCATGATTCTTCGCGCACTGTCAACCAGGTCGTACGAAAAGACGGTGTATCTCAACAGAGCGCAAGACCTGGAATATGATACAGTTCTGAGCTCGTCTACCAGAGGGATATCATTACTGCGCCGGGAAAGGATATATGCAACTACAAACAACGGTCAACAAGCAATCGGTTCCTCTGGAGAATCTTCCTCGGGCGATTTTGCTCCCAGCGATGATGATGACACCAATCAAAATGGCCCGTGGTCTGTTAGACTTCAGAGGTCAAGCCTAGATAACGTCGTCGAAAGGCCAAAGCCGGACGAAGAAACAACTGCCTTGAAGAAAGAAGTCACATGGTTGGAGGAACAGCTTGAAATAGTGAAAGGGATGCTAGCAATTGCTTTGAAAAGGGCTCACCACGCCGAATTGATGTCCTCACAGCCTGCGGTAAACACCTTGCCCAAAGAGCGTGACTCTATGGAAAAGACCAAGGACTTTGAGCCCGGAAGAAAAGACATTCTTGGTTCTGACAGTCGAAGAACTACGAAAGAGTCCGGAGGCGAGGAAGATATCATAAACTTGGTCGACAACCAGGACAAGCAACGGCGTGGGGAAGAGGAAAATGGTTAGTAAATGGCATCCGACCTTGCTTTGAAACCCCTAGTAATCGAAAAATGATTTGACTAAAGGCTTTCTAGCAGAATACTTAGACGATCCGGATGCCGGTGGGGTTGAGGTTGAGAGACTCGAACCTCAAGTCTATGGCAAGGAAGGGAAGCAGCAAGATGTGCAAAGTATGGGTTCGCAAGATGGGAATCATGAAGCCTCCCCTAGGCTCACTCACGAGAATTCGGATGGTCCACGGTGGATAAGATGACTTGATTTCCATACGACTTGTCGCGCTCTTTAACCTGTAGACCTATAATCTCATAATTTACCGCTCACACGTTATTCGACACACTCGCCTGCACCCCTTAGGTAGCCCCTTTCCGCAGTCGTAAGTTTCATCATCCTAGCCCGAATCCATAGGGAGATGATAAGTATGACAACCTCATCGCAGAAGCCGATGTCGTAATTATCCAAAGGACTTATCAAGAATTTGGGAGCAAGCGGGGTTTTCTCGTCACCCTCGCCTGGAGTTTGACTCTTGTAGTCATGGATTCAGCAGGGTCGGAAAGTTCAAAGGTTGCTGAAGCTGTGAAGGCAGGCAAAGGCAAGACAATTACTTCCAAAAGCTCGACCAAACATGTGATCATCAATTGCACAATCATCACGGCGCGATGAGATACTGTAGGAAAGTTGGGTTGAGGCGAAACATGAGGATCGCCTTGAAAGCCGCTTCGGAAGGAAGCGATGCCCACGTGCTGCAATGCAACCAACTCGTTTAGCTTTATTTGAGCCATCTTCGCCGAAGCTTTCCCAGGGGACACATCCAAGGATGTATCAATGGCTCTAGTTGTTTTTTGCCGTTATAAGATGACCCGAAGAAACCCCAGCATCGTCCAGCGGTGAGAAACCGAATGCGAGTTAAAAACACCATTGGTAGGCAATTCTCCACACTTGGTGAGGTTCCCCTCATAGTCGCGATAGCTGCAGCCGAACTGGCGAGTCACAACCCCAGTAAATTGCCTCAGTCAACTGCCGATAGGAATTTTTGCCGGGAAACGTCTTCCATAATGGCAGTTGCCAGTGAGAGACAAAAGAGACAATTTTGTTGATTTAAGAGGTGAGATTCCGCTCATGAATAGTAATGTTTTCCTACGAAACCTTCATTTCAATATTCAGATGGTTGTTTGACAAGATGCGGTCCACTGCTGGTTTGCTACAGACGCTTTCACTTTGCACGATAGTTGCAGGTGGCGCTTCGCAGGAGCCGTCAGCACAGCTCAAGAATGGCACCTATGTGGGCCGGTATTCTGCAGAATACAATCAAGACTTCTTCCTCGGCATACCCTACGCGCAGCCTCCCATTGGGGACCTGCGGTTTCGGCAAGCGCAATCTTTGAACGAAACTTGGGAGGGCACACGCAAAGCTTTCAACTACTCGTCGTTATGCGTTGGATACGGTGTATTTCTTCCCACTTACCTACATGTTGGAAATCATGATGGCTGATAAGAGCGTATCTAGCTCGACCAAACGTTCTACAGTCAGTCAGAAGATTGCCTTACACTCAACGTCGTGCGCCCTTCGGGCTACTCTGAAAGCACTCTTCCAGTCGGTTTATGGATTCATGGAGGTGGCTTCACCAATGGCGGTGGCGGTGACCAACGCTACAACCTCTCGTTTCTCGTAGACCAATCCGTCAAGATCGGGAAGCCATTCATTGGCGTCTCAATCAACTACCGCCTACACGCATGGGGTATGTCCTGCACAAGGTATCCACCGAAAACCCAATCCCTAGGCCTTTGCTAATGCGCGGCCGTTTGCAGGCTTCTTGAATTCCAACGAATTTGTTAGCGAGGGTTTGACGAACATCGGCTTGAGGGATCAACGCCTCGCAATGCATTGGGTGCAAGAGAACATCGCGGCATTCGGAGGCGACAGTACTGAAGTCACCATATTCGGAGAATCGGCTGGTGGTGCAAGTGTCGGTTTGCATTTGACTGCGTACGCCGGGAGAAACGACAGCCTCTTTCGAGCGGCGATACTGCAGTCTGGGAATCCCATTTTCTACGCAGCCCAGAACGGAAACAATGTCTACCAGTCCCAATTCGACGAAGTTGTTGCGGAGACAGGGTGCAACGGCACGTCAGACAGTGTACAATGCTTGCGGCAAGTTTCCTTCGAACAGCTGAACGCCACTTTGGGTGACTTGTACTTGGCGCACGGAAACCTGGGCCCGATCATTGATGGAGATATCGTTCAAAACTACGGCAGCGTACACCTACAGCGCGGTGAGTTTGTACGTGTACCAATCATCACCGGCGCGAACAGTGATGAAGGGGCCTCTCTCGGCCCGCAAGGCATCAACACCACTGAAGATTTTAAGGCCACGCTCGCGATCCTTCCATCGTCTTTTCAGGATGAGATCTTACAGGCGTATCCTGACGATCTCTCAGTGAATGTGGTCGCAAGTCTCGGGCAAAAGCGCCCCGGACCACCGTATGGAGCGCAATTCCGCCGTAGCGCTTCATACTGGGGCGATGTCTACTTCATCGCTGCACGTCGACAGACAGCCACGACATGGGCTAGTAACGGACTAGCCGCCTACTCATATCGTTTCAACACTATTCCGCATGGTGTCCCGCCTGAAGTTGGCGCAGGTCACTTCAAAGAGATCGGATATATGTTTCGCAACTACCTAGGAGCTGGGTACAGGCCCGACATATTGCCATTTGATGGGATGCCAGAGAGTCACTTTGAACTGGCAGAATTTATGTCGAGCAGTTGGGCAAGTTTCATTAGCGACCTTGATCCAAATGCCTGGTCAGGCAGGCCGGCGGATGTGGATGCTTGGCCGAGATACGCCGTTGAGAGCCCGACGAATCTCGTTTTCGATGCCAATGTCACAAGCCATACAGAGGTAGATGGCTTTCGAAAGGAGGGCATTGAATTGATCAATCAGCATGCATTGGAGGTATATCATCGGTAGCTTGAGAAAACTAGAAGTTTCAAGTAGAGCTTTCTTGTTGAGGCTTTCGGCCAAATTTGACTCAAGTGCCGTGGAGAATACTAGCCTATTTCGTCAACAGACTATTCATTCCTTGAAGCTTAACGTAAACACTGGGCTCGAGATTGCTTGACTTCGATTCTTGACAGGAACAACGAATGCGGAGTGACAGTTGATAGGCTAGAGTTTCTACTGCTTCGCAGACTCTTTCAAGTCACTACGCTCCTTGATCAAGTTAGCCATGACCTGGCCTCCCTCAGAGTCTAGGCTCTGGAATCCACGGATGACTCCTTCCCTATCACCTTTCCGCATCTCCTGGCTCATCTTGAACTTCCCCTCTAAACGTTCAATCACAATCTCAATGCCAATGATGTTCTTCTTCATCAGCTCGATGTACCGCTCAGGGGCGTCCGCCACCTTCCACGGTCCGGGTCTGTCCCCCTTCCCCGTATAATCCATGACCGAAGTCTCCGTGTGCCTCGAGAGATCGTCGATCTGCTTCGAAAGAAAGCTTGACGCTGTGTCTGACTTGGAGTCAAAGTGGATGGTGGCGCGACCGTACGCTTGGACAGCGGCGTAGTTCCACGTAGGAACAACCTTGGCGGTCGTGGGCTTGGTCTCGGTGTAGAACTTGGGCGTGACGTAGTGATGAGGCGCGGCGGTGAAGAGGACGAGGACTTCTTGGTCAAGCGTGGTTGAGGAATCGTTGGAGGATTGGACGGCTTCGATCATTGCCTTGCTTTGGGGGTTTTGGCGAGCCAAGTGTCCCCTCAGCCGACCCAGCTCTTCATCGTCTGACTCATCGTCAACGTCCAGGACGAAAGGAACGTGGCTAGCTAGGATGAGAGGATGGTTGTCGGAAGGGATGGCGGTTGTGAGGACGCCGAGAGGGTAGTCGCGGATCAGTTGTCGCAGGACAGGAATGCGCGCTTCCGCGTGAGCTGATGAAATGAACATGATTGTAAGTTTTCTAAAGAACTACCGGATAATTTTGAGTGTAGAAATGTGCCAATACTCAGGGGCTTACATGTCTTTTAAACTCTGCCAAGGTTGTTGAAGGCCTCAATTCTGCTTTGTGAATCATTCGTAATTAGAAGCCTATGACTCGACGGCCCAAGTACATCTGCCAATGCTGCCCAGAAGGAATTGATATGATGTAAGAAGAATCGCCGCGGTCCCAGCACATGCATCCATGAAGTCCCGGCCCGACGTGGAGTGCGTGTAGGCCGATGAAGACCCATACCTGCCGCCGCCGGCCGGCGGCGGGGGTAACCGCTCAATTTTACGGAAGAACCGAATGAGTCGACTCCGTAATCTGCCGTCTCACTTCTACTGATTTGATTTACCGGTCACTAACTTTAGTTCCCGGGCATGGATTACGCTTGAAATTAGCTTCTCCGCGGAGCCATAGCGGTAAAGCCGCCGTGTCCCGCCTGCTTCCGCCCGGCCTACAGCTTGCATAACGCCGGAGACTCATGTAGTGCGTACGCCCTATGTGTGGGGCAAATGCGAGCAACAGCGCAGGCCATAACTCTTGTCTAGTTATTAGAGACCAATCAGTCGTGAGGCCTCAAAGCTTAAATGGATGTAATCGCCTATCAGAGGCTGTGAAGTCATAGGGGCGTTAATGACACAAGATTATGTCTGTTAGGATGATAGTGGGACGTGATGTGACTAAACAAAACGTTGGGCTTTCCTAGCTTTCCTATCCATCGGACTACTCTCGCTCTCCGACCAATGCCGAGAAGCATACGCCCATGATGCTCTTCAAAGTACAACACGCAACACTTAACGTAAGTTGCAATATCAATCACGGCGTCTAAACCCAATGTATTCAATGTGGAGTCAGAGCTCGGCCAAAAACGCAGAGTGACTCACATAGCTCCGAGGTTTTGCTTGCATGCGGTGACAACCGTTCCGCAAGGGTTTCTCATCTTCAGCCAATGACTCTCTGAGACAATGGAATTTGAACGAAAATTTCCAATGATGCCGGGCTTTCAAAGTGATCCTTGCTCGCCGGCGGCCAAACGGCTCGACTGTGACATTACTCCGCAAAGATGAGTTGTCGAACAACCTCCCCATGAGACCTCGTACTGACTACGAGCCTTGAGGTACTAAGATAAAGCTGTAAAAGGCTCAGAGAGTACAGAATACACAAATTCCACCATTCATCACTCGGTTATTTCTAGGCTTCGTTTCTCGCCCTACCCATACACCAAAACGACCTCGTTCTGATCCTCACATCTTGGCTCTGAGCTGTGTGAAGACATAATGACGCGATCCGAGTTGCAAGACGACTGTATTTTCTCCGACCGAGGCGGCATAATCGAAAACACCCACCGCATCCATGCTGCAGTCACTGATGCCAGCGGCAACCTCCTGTACGCCGTGGGCAACCCGTCACGCATGACACTCGCGCGCTCAGCCGCGAAGCCAGTTCAAATACTTGCTCTCCTCGAGGTGGAAGGCTTCGATAAGTTTGGATTCGACGATGCGGATCTCGCGCTTATGTGCTCATCACACAGCAGCGAGGAACGCCATGTTCAGCGAGGGCGTTCGATGCTTGCCAAGATCCAGGCCGAAGAGCAACAGATGCGTTGCGGTGGCCACGCGGCTATGTCTGAGGTTGTCAACAAGGAATGGATTAGGCAAGGTTTTGTTCCCGGCCCTCTTTGCAACAATTGCTCTGCAAAACATATTGCCATGCTTGCGGGCGCCAAAGCACTTGGCAATGATGAAGAGTACCACTTGCCCCAGCACGAAGTCCAGAAACGTGTCAGACGCACCTTCGATGAGCTGAGCGGTCTGAGTGCGGGCGAGATCAAATGGGGAACTGACGGTTGCAATCTTCCCGCACCGGCTCTACCTCTCAGCAATATCAGTCATGTCTATGCGGTCCTCGCGGACGCGGCTGACCTAGTTGCTCGCGATAGCTCCTCGGTCAGCCAGAGAACTAGACACTTGGCAAAGATGTATGAAGTTATGTGGTGCTTCCCAGAGATGGTTGGAGGAGAGGGACGCTTCTGTACAGAGCTGATGCTCAAGTACGACGGCGCGGTCGTTGGCAAGTTAGGGGCGGATGGCTGTTACGGTGTTGCCGTAAGAGAATCGGACGATACTCGGCGGCTGGGAGCAACCTCTAGCATCGGAATTGCCGTGAAGGTTGAGGATGGCAGCGAAGAGATTCTTTATGTTGCTGTGACAGAAATACTGAAGCAGCTTGGTATTGGTTCAGAAGAGAAGAGACAGGCACTTGCGAGCTTCCAAGACCTTCAGCGAGTAAACACTGCAGGCGTTGTAACGGGGAAAGTATCTTGCTCTTTTAGAGTGCGAAAAGCTGAGAATTAGGAAGAATAGATATACGTAGACTATTCAGTCGGGCATTCCAGAGGTTGTGTTTGTCTCGGTAGGAGCCAAATCCACACCGCCTCTCTCGAAAACCACGGTCTGAAGACCATTCGTTGACGGATGACACGACATGCAGCGCAGAACCCCTTTCAGCGGCACCGAAGATTCAGCATCTCAAGCAAGATCCAGATCAGGAGATTCCTTTGGGTCTTCGTAGAAAACGCCACCGAGTTCTTTGATCAAATGACACCGCTCTTCCATATCCTTCGCCAGCTTGATAATCCCCGTCCCCATCTTGATCGCTTCTATTCGAGGTTTCGTAAGCACCCAGACACCGCCGTTCGCGGGCCATCCGACAATGATGACTGGGTCTTGCAAATGCGTCTTTTCCTTCGCCCCAAAGAGCTCAGCAACGGCAAGAGCCTGGTCACTCTTCCACCAAGTCGCGCCCAGCTTGCGCATTCTTTCACAATGGGCGTCCTCTTCCTCTTGATCATCCGAGCGTCGAGAGGGCTTGAAGCGATCCACTTCGAGAAAATCAAGCTCAAGGCGGACGCAGTCCCTGAGAACGTATGTGCCGCCCTTGCTTGGCCAACCTTGGACCCTTGCCCCCGGGCCCAGGCCGAATGATGACCGCACCTTAGTGCTTTCGGGATCCAACTCAATGTAAGTTTCTCCACCCATATTGTAGGTGTAGTCTTCCTGACGAAGGATATGGTCCGGAATACTGTTTTTGGCACCCATAGCCCAAATTTCAAATGAACGAGTCTTTTGAAAAAAGTACTTGGAGGACAAGAAAAAGCACGCCCCTAGCGAGGCGGCGATAATCGTACTGAGAAGTATGACTGATATGTGCATTCGTGGAAATGAAGATTGGCGTGAGGCTTTTCGGACTCTCTCTTCTGACATGATGCTCAGAGGCTGGCTGTTGCCTGGTTGTTGGGAAAATGTTGCTCAAGTGGAATGTCGGTGTATCGGCTGTTGGTTCCCTTGCCAAGATGCCACAAAGGTGCAATGCCCCCTTTTCTCCTCTCACCCCCGTTTAGGAGGCTTTCGGATAGCAGCAATGCAGCGATTATCACAGGATAATGCGTTTTCGACCGGAATTTTCATTTCGGTAGTATACAGTCATAGTGCTTTCCAAATAAACTTGCATTTCAACCATACTATTGTCAGCGAGCAGTGATAGCAACGCGACCGTCCACTTGAGACTCTATTTGGCCAATCGCAGTGTAGTAAACGAACTCGCTAAACTGCAGGAATCCGATTGATCAAAAGAACCATCGCTGCGCACTTGAGCCAATCTTGGAGACGGAAAGAGATTGATGCCTCGTAACAAATCAAAGGCCATGCTACTCTGACAAGCGGGGCATGGACGTGGCACAACGCTTCAGTCAAACAAGGCTGGGCCTGAATGCCCAATTCTTACTCATACATACCTTTCATCTCTGCCCAAAAGCTCGGGCATGAGTCTGTCTCTTCCATCAAGCTCGAGCAATCAGGCTCTGTCCCGTCGGCCACCAAACCGTGGTGACAGAGCCGACCCAGCAACGGGCCTCGAAATCGCTTTGTCACAATTCGGAGCGGTCCTTACGGATGATGAGCGCAAGAGGCTCCAGGCGCAAAAGTCTGGATTCGATGACGCGAACGCCGCATCCAAGTTCACCTTAGAATTGGATGAACTAGACCCGGTGCGGAGAGGCAGAGTCGTTGCTACCAAGCTTTGTTCACTGTTACAGACTGTTCAAAGTTTTGGGCAAGTAGTCGATACCTATGTGTCCTCTCACCCCGAAATTGCGGCTCTGATCTGGGGAACCGTGAAGTTCACATTCATAGTTCGTATTTTGTCACAGCAAATTATGGAGTGTCGCTGACTTCAAAGGTTTTGATCAACTTTACTACTTACTTTCAAAGGTTTACGGACCTTCTGTCTGGGTTTGATCATCTAATACCGCAGTTTACTGCCTACGAGAAGCTCTTTCCAAACTCGGACCGCCTCAGGAAGTCCGTATGCAATTTCCATCTGGCAATTGTAACTTATTGCACGGAAATTGTTAACTTGACTCGGCTTCCATGTACGTAGTAACGTACGTGAAATCGGCCATGACAATGACTAAATGGAAGCTAGGGCACGGAAAGGCTTGGGCGGCATTGACGGCATCGTTTGAGTCTAAAATCAGACCTTCTGTCGACAACATTCGCTCAGCAGCCAACCGCGCAAAGGACGAGTTCGAACTTGCAAAAGCTCAGAATGATCAACTGATTCACGTCGAGCGCCAAAAGAACGAAACAACCCTTTTAAAACGAGTTTGGAAGTCAAGTAAGGACATCCAGAGAGTCAAGGAGGATAGCGAGGTCCAGGCCAAACGTACGACGTCTCACCATTGCTGAATTATCATAAGCTAATATCAAGACTTTACATCTAATTAGTACACAAGTGGCAGTCACTGCTGAAGGAATTATCGGTGTTTGACTATGAATCAGCCTATAGGAATGCCAGATCCAAGCGCCACAAAGGAACAGCCGAATGGGTTTTCAGCACGCAGCAATTCCATCACTGGTATCAAAACGATTCAACTGCTGTCCTGAATGTAGCGGGGAAAAGTAAGTCTTTCTGTCCTTGCCGATGTCACTAGACTGCTAAGACTCCCTCAGTTGGCTCTGGAAAGACCGTACTCACGTGAGTCACAAGGAATCTACATGAGTTGACACAGCACTTACAAAAGACAGGGCAAATATCATCGACCATATAATGAGGAAGAAGACAGACAAACAAACTATCTCCTTCTTTTTCGTTCGGTTCGACGATATCAACAGTCAGAGTCCCGAGACAATCATTCGTTGCCTTGTCCATCAAGCCTTGGCTCGAGCAGTTGTGGAAGACAGCTTATTGGAGCTTATGGAGAAGTCTGACGCTCTCATGTTTGATTACAGGTCTCTCTTGGACCTGGTTTCGCATCAGATACTGCTTCTGGACGACTCTTTTTTTGTCGTAGACGGCTTTGATGAGTGTACCACGGCATCCCAGCATTCAATTTTGGACTTTTTGTCATCCCTCGGAAAGCAGTGCTTGAGGGGAAGAATGAAAATAGTCATCTCCGCTAGGGACAGCGTGACCAAACTGATCATCGGCTCTCTACCAGCTGTGTCGCGCGTCATTGTTGGCTCTGACGAGACGAATCGCGATCTGGATTTGTTTGCACGGGCAATTCTGACGGGAAAACAGAAAAGAGGAGACTGGAGTGTCGGTGACCCAAGCTTGATCGACGAGATATTACATTCCATCAGTCTTGGAGGTGAAGGAATGTACGTGCACTCATCTTTTGGTCGGTTTCCACCAAAAGCTAATGATCCAGGTCTTTGTGGGTTTACCTCACCATAGAGGATATCTCTACACGGAGAAGCGACGAAGATATACGGCAGGCCTTGTTGGATATTCCCAGAAACCTTCCAGACACCTTCGATCGTGTTCTTCAGCGCATTCAGTCAAAGGGAAACACTGAAGTTGTCTGCAGTGTCTTCAGGTGGACTGCAGCTGCTTGCTACCCCCTGGCCCTGAAACAGCTTTCCGAGGTGCTCAACACAAAGATAAACCAATCAAGCTCCCAAGAGAGTCGGCACGTCAACGGGATTAGCCACCTTCCAGCATGTTGCGAAAATCTCATACAAGTAGAGGACGGGAGCGAAACAGTTCATTTCAGTCACCACTCCATACGATCATATTTGCTAGGACCATTGAAGAAGGCAATCCCGGATTTCAACCTCAATCTCCAGGATTGCGAGGACTTCATTGGCGATATTTGCTTGACGTATCTCAATTTCAGCGACTTCCAGACAGCCTTGGCCAAGTCTCGCGAGCAGAAGATGGACGCTGGTCATGTTCCTGTTGGAGTTGTTGATCAAACCCTCAATGCCCTTGGTGCAAAGTCTCATGGGAGCCGTATAGCGAGATTTGTCAAGTTGCCATTTGGGAAGACGCAGCCAACCATACTGTCAAAACCACTGCCACTGAGCGACGTCAACGTATCAGCAGAATCTGCTGATGCAAATCACTTCCCTTTTCTTCAGTATGCAAAAGACAACTGGTCTCGGCATACCGTGCGCATTTCTCCTTCCTCGAAAGCGTGGTGTTTGTGGCAGAAAATGGACGTCACTGCTTCGTACGCGCCTTGGACAAACACACAGTGGCAAACGCCAGGTATCGCGCCGTTGGCCTCTGAAGACGCTCATGACAATGTCGGCACTGCCCCGATGAGAGATTTGAGCTGTGACGACTGGTCAAAAGTGCTTTTCGTTGCACAAGGCAATCGCGTTCTCCGATCTGTTGGACCACCAGCCGCTCCTGGTAAAGGTTGTCTCAAAATTCATCGAGTGTAACTTTCGGGTGAATCAATGGGTCTTGGAACAACTGTTCCGGCCCAGAGTGGTCAAAAGTCTTTCCAACGCAACTTCCTTTTTTTATAAGGAAATCCACGCCCACGAACTGGTGATCGACTGCGTAACTCGCTACATAGCGAGTGGAGGTCAACAATGGCCACCCGGCGGTTATGGCTACAGCCCCTGCTCACAGCCACTCGAGGGCGAATGCCGGAAGACTATACACAGACAAAGTGCTCGAATCTTGGGCGGTGGAGATATGAACATCAACAGAGAAGTTCGAACACGAGCGACGGCTTCCATCATAGATTTCGACGAAAATACATTTGCTCGTCTGGCGGGAAACATACTTTTGGAATACCCAAGGGATAAAATTCGTAGCATCTTTCGAATCGCCATCGAGCGTGGAAATCCATGGTCCTTCATCGCCATTAACATGCTCCTGCACCATGAGGAACCGCAACAGAAACGATACCAGTATCTTGTCAAAACTCTCGTTAAGTTCCAAGACGCAGAAACTCTTCTTTATGTCTTGGAGTTAAGACATTCATTCGATTGCAGAGGACTCAACTTTATTCAGCTGGCAGCACTGAAGTCTGTACTAGCGCCTGGATCGGATAGCCTACAGCTACCACCCATGCTACGGCAGCGTTTCATAAAGCTTTGCGTTCCGCCGAGGTGTGAAACCGGGCTTGAAGAACTACAGAAGCTTTTGAGGTGTGCCGTCGAGAAATTTAGCTGGGACATAGCGGTCGCGCTGCGCAGCTGCATCTTAAAAAGCATGCCTACAGCAAAGTTGGCTTTTGGGGCAACCGAAGATACGTCATACGACCAAAACGAGATAGAGCTGTTGGACGGTATACTTCGTTGTTTGACAAAGACCTCCTGCCCATGCAAGCAAGAGATCAGAATGGGAAATCCATTCTTGCTCTGTTATGAAGTGCACAGGGATAATGTTTCGGCCATGGTCAATCGCCCTGTCCGCGGACAAGTAAAGCCTATGTCGATTTTATTTCGTGTGTTGAAAGCTCAACCTGGGACTAGGTCATAGAAAATCAAGTAGCTTACGCACACTCGTTAGTGTTTGGCCATCTTTCGAGGACTTGGACCTTAAAAGACTCGGAATTGATGACACCAATGCACGACCGCCCTTGATGACCAGGCCCTCATGAAGCACTCTGTTGCTGGCAAAATGAACGACTCACTGGCTTACTTCTGGTGAAGCACCTATGACACGGCCCCAAAGTCACGGTGATCTTCCCTTTGGGTAAAGGCCACGTCAACTTCCCCCCTTGTGAAAACACCTA